TTAATAGATTTCTGATAATCCCCAATAGTAAAATTAGGTCTTAGCCAGGTTTAAATAACTACAGAACCCTGGGAGAAATGACCTAGTCTACATTTGAGGAATGCTGTTCCAGAGGGTGAGGTCCATGGCACAGAAAACATGTTTGCTCAGTCCTATAAGATGACAACATTTAATAGAAGGGACACACTAACCTGCCTGAGTATATCAGGCAAGTAGAAACAATGAGAGTAAGATTGTCCTTCAGATAACCAGGTCTTAAGTCACAAATGGCTTTATTAACAGAAAAGGTAAGAACCAGCCTCTTGAGTTGCACCTGGAAGTTAACTGGTAACCATTGTGGTTCAAGTAGCAATAGTGATACTGAGCAAAACAAGAAGTGCCAGTTACCGTTTATTTTGAACCAGCTGTAGCTTCCAGATGGTCTTCAAGGGCACCCCCATGTAGCATGCATTGCAGTAGTCTAATCATGAGGTGCCCATGCTGTGAATGACTATCAAATATGTCCTCATTCTTATTTATAAATGGTTTCCTGTTAGCAAACTTGTTCTGTCAAGTATAAAAAGAAGCTTGGTCCTTATCTTCTGATAAGGCATAAAGACCCTCAACCATTTATCGTCTTTCAAGCTATGAGCAAAAAGATAGTTGGGGTGGGGTGGGGTGAGGGCTGGGGGCAGGGAGATGACTTTGCCGAAACTGATGACCAACTTTTTTGCCAACCCACAAAACATTCCAGGGAGAACAGGGAAGGCAGCTCCTATACACAAGCCACCATCGAGTTAATAATAACCCAGGAAGGTTAATCAACAGTTTCTCAGAGCTTTTAGGAGCTACAAAAGCCGCAGCCTGTGAATCAGCAAACCAATGTGGTTATTAGAGGGGGTGCACTAGAAAGGAAGGAGAATAAATTATAGAGCTGCAGAAGGGGCTATAGCAACTCTAGATGGAAGGCTACCTTCCTCCCACATTAAAGTAGACTGAAACTTGGGTTGCTCATCATTGTAGGCAGTGTCCACTGATGACAATAATGTGTTATGCAGAAGTTCCTGGTAGTGCAATAATCCACATAAAACTACTAATGCGAGTAAAGAGGTGAAGAAAGTTACCATCTGCATTTTTTTGCAGAGCTGACCTCTCAGGCCTTTAGATCTGATTTCTGTTCAAAGAGAATTTTTTCTCCCTCTGTAAGGTGATGGTGCACTAGTTTTGCATCTAACCTTGGAACTAATGCTGCAGAGATTGCTGGAGTCACACAGCAGGGCATGCTTGTATAGGGAATTGGTGCTACTTTTTAAAATTACTTTTTATTTTTTTTAAAAAAATAATTACGGAATAAAAATGTAAGGAAAAAGAATAAAATAAAAATGATGAGGCAAGAATAAATAAATGAAAGGGAAGAGAAAAAGAAAAAAATACAAAAGGTACTCTACATGGAGCTACCCATGAAAAGAACCTGGAAGCAACTCAGAATGCAGCTATATAAGCAATCTTAGGTACCCAAAGGACGGCACATGTAACACCTCTGTTGCACAAGCGTATTGGATGCCGGGTTGCTTCTGTGTCCAATGCAAAGTGTTGGTTATGATCCTTAAAGCACTATATGGCATGGGGCCAATTTACCTGTAGAGACACGTTCGCCCCATTACATCGGCCCATCCCACTCAATCAGGTAGGTAGGTTGCGAACCTGGTCAGTTGAACAATTCTGACTGGCTAAGTGAAGGAAGAGAGCCTTCCCTGCCATTGCCCCCGCCTTTCGGAACATTCTGCCCCCAGTGGTAAGGCAGGAACCCACTTTCCTGGCCTCTTGTAAATGTCAAAAGACCTGGCTATGTCAACTTGCTTGGGGCCTTCAGGGGATGCATGCAGCCATGGGGCTGGTTAGAGCCCTGAAGCCCCTTCCCAACCTTTTAAATTTTATTCTTATTTTTAACAGTTTTATATTATAATATTTAAACATGCCCAGAATCACTCTATGAGGGTGATAAAACCTGTATAAATAAATAAATAAATAAATAAATAAATAAATAAATAAATAAATAAATAAATAAATAAATAAATAAATAAATAAAAAAATAAATAAATAAAATATTAGATCGTCTTTGCAGCAGTTATAAATGTATTCAAAATGTATTCTCTAGAAGTGCTCTCTTTTCGGCACTGGGTACTGAAAAGGTTCGCCATCGCTGCTCTAGAGTTAATGGTGCTTCTTTGTTAAAAAAAAAAAGTTGTTCTTTGCTGGGGCTGACCAGAGCAGTTTCAAAGGATTTTCAAAACAATTTAGTCTTCTCTTGTGAACTTTATTTCTATCAAAAATAACATATGAGGACCCAAACTCAAATATGGCAGTGTAAAAACTTTGTGCAAGGAAGTGGGATTTATCTACATAGACTTTTTGCTATGTGAAAGAAGGCTGATTAGAGGGTTTGGTCATGTCTTGTCTTGCTATTTTTATAGTAAGCTCTTTGGGGTGAGAACAGTCTGCTTCTAGCTCTGCAAATTTTCCACTGTATTAGATGAAGAACAGCCTGATGAGGTGTGAGAGAATCATACCATGTTTTTCCAACATTATGTTGTAGTAGTAGATAGAAGGTTATATGTGCAGATTTTATTGGATTCAAGTTTTCTTGAATTTGTCTCTTGGGAAATAAGAGCGTAGGCACCTAGATATAAGAGCGTAGGCACCTAGAGTACCTAGAAAAGGAAGTGATTTTGTTTTAGCTGTTGTCAGGCCACCAACACATTTCAAGCAGCACTTGTTTTTTACTGCATGCACTGTGCAAAACCTGGCTGCACCCTCTATGTATCTATCTATCTATCTATCTATCTATCTATCTATCTATCTATCCATCCCCCCACCCACCAACCCATCCATCCATCATCTATGCAGTTCAGCCTTCACAATAGCAAAGTACAGGATAACCTCCAACTTCTTTTTGTACCAATAGAGAGCAGGTGGTGAGGGGAACATTGCACACTAGGCTTTGTTTAGTTTTAATACTACCACACACTTAAAATTAAAGCCACAAAAAGGGGAAAACCTGGAAATGCAGATTCCACTCACAGTCCAAAATAGGATCTGTTTGGTCTTCTGCTCCTAGCCAATGTACACAATTCTGTATCCTATCACCTGTCTGCCATGACATTGTGGCCAGTATCCAATTATCTGAGACAGCACATTTGGTCTAATTTTATTTCCTTTGAGAGTGTGGCAACTGCCAGAGTGACATCATCATTTCCTTGATTTGGCATTCATACACAGGAGAAAGAAACCCACTCTTCCATTCATTCTTGTTAGCAGAGTACAGTTCATTTGTGATTTGGCAATGTCGCTGCTGAGAGCTAGTTTGGTACAGTGGTTAAGGTACTGGACAAGGAGTGAAAATCAGGAGATACTTGCCTTGGATATGAAAGCCAAGTTAGTGACAGCCAATCACTCTTCTCAGTCCAATGAAAAGCAATAACAAATCACTTTTGAAAACGCTGCCTAGAAAATTGCATAGGCTTTTCCAAATAGTTGTAGGAGTCATAACTGACTCGAAAGCATAGTATGTATGTACATATGTATACAGTATATATGTGAATGTGTATATGTAAATATATATATATATATATATATATATATGTAGGTCTTTGGTTATTCGGGTCTTCTCCCACGTAAAATTGGAAGTGTCTTGGCGACGTTTCGACGAAGTCTCATTCGTCATCTTCAGGCTGGTGTTCTCGGCTTCGTGCTTCCAGGAGCAATATATATATATATGTAATTGTAATTACATATTGTAATTGTGTACTTAGGGTAAACATAGGTTTCCACCCATTTAGTATATAAAATCATTTCCCTTTATATTTAACTAAAATATTTAACTATGTTCTTTAACTAAGAGAGATTAACAATGTTAATACATTTCATTTCTTTTGCATTGCTGTAAAGATATTGCTGATAATTCCTTGAGGAATGCAGGCATTAGCTATTCTGAAGTTCTGTGTAAATCTTCAGAAAGCAGTGTTTACAATTTGTGCCTTTAACCCTTACATATTTTTCCTAGATCAGTCTTGTAAAATGGAGACATGGAGCAGTGGAAAACACTGTCTGATTTAAACATGTTATACAGATTCAACTGGATATTTTTGTATTGGATCAGAAATTAATATTTGGGGCACACTTTTCTATTTGGCATTTGGCAATTGGAGATTTTGACCAATTACTCACCAGTATTTAATAAACATTATTCCTAGCAGTGCATTCTAAATTGCTTATTTTATGCCTAGACAGATATCACTGAGTAAAATAGCACTGGGCTTTCTTTCTTCTGGTACCATATATCCACTTGTTTAAAAATAATTATATTAAATAGCATCCTCTGTCAGAAAAACAAAATGTGAGTACACATTTTGATATACATAACTGTGTGTGTTGAATTCAAGAGCCAGCTCCGACTTCAGAGGTTAATTCCACTTTCCAAAGAAGAAATCTGCTCAGAAATAGAATTAGATATTACCTTTTTGATTTTGTCATTTTGTCATTTTGAGCTGTATGAATAGACTCTTCCCCAATCCCTATCTGATCAGCCTTGCTTTGAAAGCAAGTACTACAAATTTTCCAGGTTTGTCTCTCTGGATTCTGTCTGCTTATTCAGAGCACAGATTGCATAATGGTCTGCATATTTCCTGTTTATGTTCATTTAAATGCGCAAAAGTATTTAGAACCAACAGCAAGTAGAGTTAATAAATCTCCAGTGGTCACATGGAAAGAACAGATGTGAAGAATAAACACTGTATGTTATTTTGGCTGTGTAGGTATCAGGAAAAAAAATTTTTTTTAATACTCTTTGAAAATCAAATGGCAAATGGTGGAAGGTGTAATTAGGGCAGCCAGTAGCAAATTGCCAATAAATTTCAAAGAATGCCAAAAACAATGAAGAGCTGTTTATGTCAGCTGCTTTGTTGTTACTAAGGAAAATGCTTTTGAGGCGTATGGGACAATTTTTGTCTGTTGTATTTCAGGTAACAATATCTGTACCACAAGAGGAGCAAATTCATGTCAACAGTGCCTGACTGTAAATCCACGTTGTGGTTGGTGCTCCCAGGTGGTGAGTCAAAATTAAATCTATACTATAACATAATAAGCACTTGTCATGAAATACTTAAAGGACAAGTTTGTTTGTTTTTTGTACACAGAGCAAAACAGACACAAGGGCTTTGAATTCTACCCTAGATGTTCTGATGCTACCCGTAACAAAGCAGGGTGTAGCCAAGTTTGAAAAATGCTGTCCTATCGCCTTTGCCTCAGATTCTTTTATGGAGGAAAAAGCGCCAAAGAAAGAATGGGGAAATATGAGAGAGTTACTGGTGAAATATTGCACCATCTAGACCTCTGATAAAAGTATGAGTTTCAGGCAGGTTGTTGCACAATAAAAACCTTGTATGGAAGCATGCCCAGATTCAACCATCTGTAGTGAAATCTGCTTACCGACTGTGTAGTTAATTGTATATTTAAGAAACAGAGTTACAGATAAAACCCACAGGAAGGAGAAGCCAGATAAAAGCATTGGGCAGATTAAAATATTCAAATGCTGTTGCAGAGTTATCATACAAGGCTTTGGCAGTATTTCTAAGAATAAGAAACTGACATCTCAGAAAGCTTTTATTTCAGATGCTTAGAGTTTGTGGAAGAATGTATTTCATCAATATTCGTTCTGAATCAACCATAATTGATAGTCTTTGCTAATAGTTATTCATGCCCAGGTCACTACTTGAATGGATTCTTGTAATGCACTCTAAATGGGGTTGCCCTTGAAGAGTATCTGGAAGGTTCAACTGGTACAAAATGCAGCAGAGCAGACAGTTATGGGTGCCCCTAAAGTGGCACATATCCGTGAACTGAATTGGTTGCTAGTTTGCTATTGAGTGCAATTCAAGATGCTGGTTTTGACATTTAAAGCTCTACATCAACCCAGAGTCAATGTATTTGAGGGACAGCTTCTTCCTGATTATATATACCAATCCCATCAGGTCAGTTGGAAATAGCATGTTACATGTCTTATCTGCTAAGGAATTCCATTTGATGGGGACTCAAGATGCATACCTTTTCTGACCTGGCACCCGTACTTTGGAACATCACTCCCCTTCAAGGTCAAATTAGGCCTTGGTTTTTCCAGGAGACTTGAGGATCCTTTGGGAAAAGGGATCTCATGAGATGGTTTTATTATGTTTGAATTTTTAATGCATGCATTAAAACATGTTGCATGCATGTTTCTTGTTTTTTGTGCTGATTTCAAGATGCATATAAATTTAATTAATTAAATTAAATTAATTAAATTTTCCTTTCACTGTGTCAATTTAACAAGCTGCAGTATTGACAGAATATTACAGAAAGTCTACATTGGGAAAATATAACAAATTAGTTGCAACTGTCTTGTAGTTTGCAATAGAAGAATTATGGTTGAATAACTCTTAGAAATACATGGTAAAGGAGGATGAAATGCTACATGTAAATAAATAATCTGAATAATGTATTTCTTTTAAATCATAAAGAATGCTTTTCCATGGTTGTTAAATCCCAAGAAGCAAGGCCTTTTGGCTCCAATCTGCCAGGAATAGGAGAAGATTTTAAATGAGAAGCATAATGCACCTCTACCCATTTTTCTAAAGCCTTTTGATTCTGTTCCCAGATTTTTTTCAGTTTAAAAAACATGTCTTCTCACTGAAAGTTTCTTTATTGTTTGAAATAATTGTAAGTTGCTTCACCAAGTAGCTTTATTTTTGTTTTCGACCCAAGATTAAACACCATGGAATAAAATCTCAATGATATTGTACAGAACACAAGTTGGAAGAACACTTGGCAAACATATCCCACTAGTGAGATATTAAAAGAATCTTACACAATGACCCCTAAAATGCATTCATTCTTTATAAGCAGGCTAGAAAACATACGCAATTTTAGGAGCCACTAGTGAACTCCAAAGAGCTATTTGGTATCATTTGGGAGGCAAAAATTGTATTTCTTCATCACTGAGAAGTAATCAGGCAACCTTGTTATTTACCATACAATTTTCCTTTCTGTGAATACGTGCATTTTCTGGTTCTATCTCCTGGTGTAAGGCTTGATAAGTTACTAAATGATAACCCATAATCTCTGGAAAATCTTCAAAACTCCTTAAAGACAAGATTACATGGAGATTTCTAAAGAGAGCAGTATCTGTGCCTGCTGATATATTGACAAAGGAAGAAGACCCAGTCATTTTATATTAATAAGTATAATTGGTAGATTCCATAAATTTGAAATGTACTGCTCTCTACCCTGGAAACCTCACAATTTAATCTTAAAACTATAGGTTTCTGAATAATAAATGTGGAAGTAAATTGCAATTTACTTGTGGATGGAGGATGCCAATATGTAAACCAAATATGCAGTGAGGCGTATGTGGCATCATTAATTAGGAGTCTAGCTAAAAGATAGGAGTTTTCCAGGCCAAAGCTCAGTCCAGGCTGCCATCTCTCAGACTTGCAGCAGATCTAAGGTTTTTGCTACAGGCTGAATCATGTCCAAGAGCATATTAAAGGAATTTAGAAGTGACTTGGGGAAGTTATGAAAGAATCATTGAGGGGATTTGGGGAAGTAATTCAAAGTCCAAAGATTGAGGCAAATGAGAGAAAGAAGTTCAAAATAACCTCACCTTGTTTAGTATAAGATGAGACAAATAAAAACTTTTGTCAGACTTTTAAAATTCTGTTATTATACATGGCAGCAATAAAGTACTATCCTACTGTCTATTTCTTGTCCTATCTTGAAAGCATGAGTTTCCTCAGCCTGGAAATATAACCTGCGATTAGTCATCTCTGAGACAGAATAGCAGAATGAGAAACAAAAATGGTACACAGAATAAACCTTAATTCTCTGTTTATATCTTCTTGTTCTCTTGTAGGTCCCAAGATATTGAAAAATCAGATCATTACATTCATCTCACCAACAGTTTTAGAATTTAAATCTCTTTCTTGGGTTTAGTAGGAAAAGAAATAAAATTTGAAGCTCATCATCTTTGTTTTGAAGCACCAGTCTTACCTGGACTCTTTCCCTGATCACAGCATCCTCTAAATCAGGGTGGGGAACGATGGTCCTTTTATGACTTGTGGACTTCAACTCCCAGAATTCTGGCTCAGGAGTTCTGGGAGTTGAAGTCTACAAGCCATAAAAGGACCATCGTTCCCCACCTCTGCTCTAAATGCTCAGCACAGCTAGCATCCATGGCTATAATGAGGCATATCTCTATCCATGTCTGACTGTCATCTAATCCTCTAATCCTCTGGCTAGTGAGATGGGCAGCATATAAATTTAATAAATCAATAAATCCTCACTGTCCTGCTGCCCCATTGATGGAATGAACAAGGAAGCAGGGATAGGTGCTGTAGCTCTGAACTCATACTCCTCTCATTGCAAAGCACCTCCAGGTGCATTTTCCTGCTGAAATTTTAAATTACTCTTCTACCTTCCTTTATGTCACCTTGAATGTCCATCCATTTTGGTGATACACACTTTTTGTTACAGACTATGCCCAGAAGATCACTGGCTTTTTCCCAGAAGCAGGAATGCCATCTCAAGTGAATCAATAGTCACCAGGCTCTCTGATGTGTTTTAGAACTTCCTTTAGAAGGAATGCTGTAATAACACAATGGCTATATGTTTGCCTTACATATAGAAGATTGCTGGCTTGGGACTCATCAGACTCATTTTTTGCTTAATTATTAAATCTTTCTCTGAATTAGGTACTCTTCTTTGGACTTTTGTTAAATTAAAGCCAGAGATGCATTGTTTCATCTTTAGATGAATTATTACATCTTTAGATGAATTATTATTTCATCTTTAGATGAATTATTATTTCATCTTTAGATGAATTATTACATCTTTAGATGAATTATTATTTCATATTTAGATGAATTATTATTTTATATTTAGATGAATTATTACATCTTTAGATAATTTAGATTTAGATCATTACATTTAATAATTATTAAGGTTATTACATTTAATCTAATAATCTTTAGATTATTACATTTAATAATTAAAAATGTTTCTGCTGGGTTCCAAGCCATCAACATTCTATGTGTAAGGCAAACATATAGCCATTGATATAGCAGAATTCTTACTTTAAAACTGGTTTCTTGTGCTTTATGCATGTGCATTTTGGTGGTTTAACTTCATACACATAAATAAGTTTAACTTTGTACGTTTGTGTATATATAAATAAATATACAAATTATGTACTACTATAGTTTAAAACCATCCTATCAGCATCCTAAAATGATAATTTTAACATTTTCGTACTGAAGTTATCTCTTATTTGCTTTTTCCTGACAGCAGAGTTTCTTTGGAAACTCATTAACTCAGTTCATTATAAAAAACACACTTTGAAACAATAGTATCATATGAAGATTTACTGTAAAACTCAAGTTACTTTCTTTTATAGGTACATAAATAAAAGCCTGCTTATTGATGTACCTATATTGGTGTTATAGCTTAGTATATGCTACATGTTCCTCTTTCCTTTCCAGTACATGCTGGTTGCAAACGGCTAGTGTGTTTCCTCTTTTTTCCCTCTGTCCAATTGTTAACTGTCTTCCTCTTAATTCCTTTCCTCCATATTCTTCCAGTTTCATGAATCCCTTTCTTATAGGAAGCATCCTGTTAATCCTTTATTTACTTCAATATAGTGCAAGCAGAAACTAAACATTCAGAAACAGAGTACTCCAGAGACACTGTTATGGTATTGAACTGGTTGTTTTCTAGAAATCAATGAAAATGGTTCATGATGATCCAGATCCATATGAAAAGGTCAGACCATGTCTGAAATACCCTAATAATTCAGAGGATTAATTTCTGAATAACCTCTGGATTAACCCCAGGAACAGTCAGTTCAGTGTGATCCAGAGGAAAAAAAGAACATGTTAAGATTTTTCCAGAATATTCGGTTTCTAAATTGTTGTTTTCTACATAATCATATATTATTTCATCACAGCTACCTATTTTATAATAGCCTACCTTGAGGATCCTTCAGTTTTTAGACATACTATAATTTCTAGAAAGTTATCCATC